TAGCGTCATAAACTTCAAGTACGTGTCCTCCTTGTGGTGAGTGAATAAAGTAAAGATCAATATAATCTACTTGTAGTTTCTTAAGACTTTGTTCAAATGTTTGTAAAAAATGATGACGTCCTCCTTCCGTTGTAAACACTTTTGTTGAAATGAATATTTCTTCTCTCGATGGCTTGACTTGTGCTGCTTTTAATCCATCTCCCGTTTGTTGTTCATTTTCATAGACTTCAGCCGTATCAAATAATCGATATCCTAATTCTGTTGCTTTTGCGACGATGTTGGCAGTTACTGTACTTGCTTCTTGTCTATATAGACCTAATCCAAATATTGGAATTGAATTTCCATCATTCAACTTTATTCGAGATGTCAATGATAGCGTAGCACTCGTTTCGCCTAATATACATCTGAAATAACTCAAAAACCGGTTTAAGAATGTTTTTGAGTACAGAAGGACAATATCTTACGTTTTTGGAAGAAATATAAAGTACACATTTAGAAGAATAGCTGAATAAATCTTAAACATATTTATATGAATTTAATGTAGCAAATTGTACTTGTTTGAATATCATGAAAAACCATCGCTTTTTGAATGTTGGTCAAACTTTCTGGCTCACTGATTAAGTCAACACCATGCCAAAATTTGGCAATGAAATAGATAAAAGAAATGAGATGAAATAGATAGATTAGTAGATAGAAATGACTTATGATTCAATCAAAGCGGGATAGTGCATGCGAACGTAGTTTTCTATTTTAGTGCGTAAAAATACAAAACAACACCATCCCATTCTTTCGTGGCCATTCCTTATTTATACTTGTATTCGATCATAATCAACCAGCGCTGTCTTTTGAATACAGATTGGTTACTTACCTAGAATGAGTGAACATGTCTCGTGCGTAGGTTTTCGCCATATGTTCCTATCTAAATAAGTATTTGCCGGTATCTGATGATTCGGCCATTACACAATTGTCTTCAAAGTCTCTTATTTCCTATGCTATTAAGTGTATTGCGGATAGTTACATACTTAAAATGGTTGTTCTATCATAAAAGAGAATATTCATAGTATTATTGTGCCGAACACGATACATGGGAATAACAACGCA